GGTCTAGGATCTGAGGAAGTATGGTGCCTGGGAGTCATCTGATCTTCAAAGCACGCTTGGGCCTTTAAAAGGCTTGTGTACTAGGCTGGCTGGTTTTATGTCAACTTGACACAATCTATGGTTATTTTGCAAGACAAGGACTCAGTTGAAAATGCCCCTACCAGATTGTCCGGTGGGCAAAACTATAATACAGTTTTATTTAATTGGGGCTTGATGCAAAAAGATTCACACCAATTCAGGCATTTCAAGCCCTGGACCCTGCAGGAGTCCTGGGCGATAGGAGAGCTGGTTGTGCAAACATGAGGAGCAAGCCAATAGGAAGCACTCCTCCAACGTCTCTGTCCCAGGTCCTGGGTTTTATTTATGACACTCTCAATTTGGAGCTAAGAAATACTCCAGTTTGACATGGATGTTCTAAAACCATTGTTCCCTCTCAGCTTAGAGGTGTGAAGAACAGAGCACCAGAAAAAGGTTACCCTGGTCACTTTAGTCCAGCTTTGGAAAGATGACAGGATTCAGGGATCCCTGGTCTAGAGCCCCCAAGAAACTGGGCTGACCCTGACATATGACTTACTTTCCATCAAGGTCTTCCTTGATGCAGGTGGAGTCAGAAGATGGAAGCTAAGCTGATCTACGGCCATTTGTCTCTACCAGTGTGTCCTACACTAACTGCTAAAACCTTGGCATGGAGACACCTTGCAGAGGGAAGGGAGTCTGAGCCAGCCATGACAGTCCATCCGTGTCAGTCCTGTGTGTCTAAGCCCCAACCAGCATGGAACAAACACAGAGAATCACTTACTGTGCACCTGGTGCTGCACTCGTGTTTCTTCACGTCTCATATCTGTTCTCAAAATTTGCAGAATGTACAATCCAGGGTCTTTCTGAGAGACGCCATGAAGCCGCCGGGATCCACCACTGTACAGCATCTCTCTGTCACTGTATGCCGGGCCCCACACAGTTGATTTCCTGTCTATGATGTATTGGGCAATCTCAGTTTTCATGAATGCAGACGTCTGCTTGAACCAGATAAAGGCTTCAATATTTTCCGGGGGATTGTGAACAAGTAGAAGAGCACTTCCCCCTTCGGCAATGCTGGGATGCACTGATTCAACAGTGTGCTTGGAAGGGGTGTCATGGCGCCCACAAGTCCAAAGGAAAGCTAGAAGGGAAGAGAGAGATCCATATAAATTTGGACATTTGTATTTGGACATTTGTAAATAGAGCACCAGGGAGCTCCTGCCCACTACTGTATTGCTAATTCAAGCAAGTCTGCTATTGTTTACCATGGAAACAGTGGGGAATTTTGCCTAGCTTTCATCTCTACAGAACTAAGCATTTGAATAGGCCTGCACCTGTGCAGGAGGCTAGGTGTGTGAGTAACAACTGAGGAGAGAGTTAGGAGCCAGGGAGCAGAGAAGGGTCAGAAGGAGAGAAATGGCCTCCTCATGGCCATGGAAGCATGGTTAAGAAACAACCAAGAGGATGCTAAATAAACAAGAGACTCTAGTTTTGCAGTATGGAACTGGGAGCTCTCTAAAGATGACAAGATGCCTGTGTTTGGTCTTTATTGCCTTTGGGTTGCTAGGAGTGTAAGACCCCAGGAAAGCTCAGGCTTCCAGGATCTTAGCCCAGGATTGCGGTCACTCCAATCACCAGGCAAATTCGAAAGCTTAATGCAAACTGCATGAGGCTCTATTGTTGTTTAATGAGCTAACCCATGTTAGCTCGGAACTTGTATCCACCTGCCATGGTCTTATAGGGAAGCATAAGGGGAGTGTCTAGGGGTGCGCACAGGCTCAGGATTCGTGTGCTTCCAGGCTTGGAGGGTTTGCCCTGTGTTGATTGGCCAACTGGTTGTTATGACCCATAGACCCTCCCAGGGTGGTTGGTTTGCTCTGTGAGTCATTGCTGTGCACTTGTCCATAAAGCACAC